ATAACTGCTGATAAAATTAGTGGTGCATATAAACATTCCACATTGTCCACGTCCTTTAAAAACTGGCATTAGCATAACACATTCCTTTTAGTTTCAAAATAAAACTGCTACTTCTATGACAACAGAACTCAACTCATAATGGTGAATCCCAACAGAAAGTACATCTATAAAAATATTACAAAGAAATGTATCTGTTTACTCTTAGCCCATTACATTTTTTACTTTCAAACTGAAAGTATATGTTCACCTAATACTGAGATAAAAACCAAACTGCATGGTCTTACTATTATTATATATTCACTATGGTGATTATAAATATTGTAACTACTGCAGTAAAATATTCTCATTGAAAATTTGAATTACTGGACACATAAATGTGGGAATGAAGCTAAGAGTTACCTTTGGAAATAATGATTTCACAAGTAGCCCACACATACAGTGGGCAATCAAGTAAATAGGTTGTGAGCCAACGCCAGCCTTTCTGTATCAGTTCGTTACTGTGATATTCTAGGTTCCTTCTGGAAAAGAAGACAGAATGAGTTACTCAGGGAGGCAACAGATCTATCAACTTTGAAACATCTGTAAACATCTACCAGACTAAACAGTGCAACAACCCAGAATATACCTAAGGTCAGAGACAGACTGCAGTCTTTTAAACAGAGAACATTAATTCATTTAGGAATGGTGGATAATGTCCAAGAACTTTGTTATTTTAAGACATGACATCAGTTTTCAAATGAGTATAAAACATATAAAGAATTTATTGTTCATAATGTTTTCTCTTCTTTGTTAGTACATTTCCCAAAACTGATAACTCACATGTCGATAACAACAGGACACTTGGGAGCCCACGTGAACAAACTGGTATAACAGTTGACAGAAATAATATGCAAACGATGGAAATCCTGTGGGAGCCAGTCACATCGCTAGCATGCACTATATGTTTTGCAAACTTCCAGAGACTACTGAACACATGGATGAAGAGGGTGAAATAGATCAAGTTCTGACACTTTTCTTCCCAACGGACTGACGGATCAGTTTCTATGCCAGAATAGCCTATGCCTAGCTTTGTACTACAATTTTTTAAGATTACTGGCATTACTGAAATCAGCAATCAACTTTGTTAAATCACATTGTCTCTTGAATATACCATAGTTTTGCTACTTTCAATTTTTCTATCAAGATAGTGGAAGAGGAAAGAAACAAAAAATTTAGTTTGAAGTTACATGACAATGGCAGTGTGTGGGAAAATGTGGTTGTGTCTATATCAAACCAAACGTGGAATTACTAACAGACATACTGTGATACAATGTAACGATGATGGTTAACAACAGCCTGGAGTTAAAAAGTTTTTATACTTCATAGACAAAATTCGTTCATGTACAAACAATACTTACCGGCGATGATGTTATTAATTAAATGCTATGAACCTGTTAACTTCTTTAGCTACCCTTCTACACTGAACACTTTAACCTTTGACAAATTATAATGAAAGACAAAATTCTGTTGCCACTACCTAATATAAAAGGAATACCGAGACTATTTCTGATATCTTACGGTTACAAACTGCGCAGAGGAAGATCATTTTAGCCTTCAGAATACTCAAAGAATGAGCTGCCTAAACACATACATAACAATTCTACGACATACCTGATCTGCTTTTCTTAGGTTAATATCATGTTCTTCTGTGATTATGAGTAACATTTCAAAGAAAATCGTATGGAGACCAAAGAGTATCTAACCACATTTTACTCTTATAGGAAAAGGTGAAGTATTTGTCAACACGAAAACATTATGTCATAGCTCAAGACACCAATATAATTATGTTCCTTTTGTTTCTACTTTTCAACGTAATTAATTCACACCTTAAAGATATTAAAATATGAACTCCTGCTAAACCCGCTGTCAAGTTCCAATAGAAAGCCTTCTCTCGACACCAGAGGACTCCTGAGTTCTTTTGCGAACGACGTTTTCGAGTTTTCAACATTGTTGTCGAGTGTGATACGCGTAAGAAAAGCCAGAAGCTAGTTCAGAAGTGGGAAAACTCTTCATCCTAACTGTGTCCAAAGTCTCTTTCAATCTGACGCTGTAAGTTGCTCAAATTTTAACTGAGGATGATTCATTTGATAATGCGTGTGCAAAAAAGTTCAATAATGAACATTATTTAAAAAGCCATTCATCCACACTGGAGGTAGTGACCTTAAATGGACACACATTTCCTTCAAACACTATGGGTATACAATGCATGACACTACCAGAACTTGACAGTAGTAGAAGAGAAGTTACCCTTGAAAACATGGATTAAATTTTTGACCAGTTGTCTGAGAGTGCTACTCGTGTGGATTCACATCAAGATTTCTCAGAAGCTACTTTGTTAACGCATCATTCAGTGACAGCAAGGAAACATAAATATGCAGAAAACGACTGTGATTTTTCATGGCTTACGTATTTTAAAATTAACTGATTCTTTAATGGAACTGATCATAATATACAACGGGAATGATTCAACACATGTTCATACATGAAATAAACTGACTTAATTTTTTATCATTAACTTCAAAACTTTTGTCCGAACAAAACTCTTTCGGTGCAGCCACCATCTTACTTAAGCATCTAAAAACCCTTCCCTAATCTGACAGAGATAACATATTTATTTTTGTGTGTATATAGACAGGTATGGATATTATGGATTTGTATTTGTTGCTTACTCATTGACGCTGACAGTGGCCCATAACTGCCTGTAGTGTACTAGTAACAGACCTTGAAAAATTTACACTGTTCAAGTCTGCTCTTTAATATGATAGCTCACCAGATAGTTAAGGAATTCAACATGGCACTGCCTAGTACATAATGTGGTCTAAAAAATGTGATATACTGAACATTTTAAAACAGTCTAATGCATATAAATTTGCAATTGTAAAGCATAAACATAACTAAATTATTTTTATCATATATCTTACCAATTCTTTGTATGACTTTAACACCAAACTTCCAGACAAGTGTATTCGGGTTCTGTCGGTACTTGCTTGCTAAGATCCACTTTAACAGTGAACTAACAGACATACTGTGTTACAATGTAAGATGATGGTTAACAACAGCCTGGAGTTAAAAAGTTTTTATACTTCATAGACAAAATTCGTTCATGTACAAACAATACTTACTGGCGATGATGTTATTAATTAAATGCTATGAACCTGTTAACTTCTTTAGCTACCCTTCTACACTGAACACTTTAACCATTGACAAATTATAATTAAAGACAAAATTCTGTTGCCACTACCTAATATAAAAGGAATACCGAGACTATTTCTGATATCTTACGGTTACAAACTGCGCAGAGGAAGATCATTTTAGCCTTCAGAATACTCAAAGAATGAGCTGCCTAAACATATACATAACAATTCTCAGCTCAATAACATACCATAAAATAACAAAGAATCTCTCTTTCAGAACACACTTTCAGCACAAAATTTCATATTTTGTTATTATGTAGTGCAAGCACTTGTTTTTGTGATTCCTTGAACATATGTAGATTACTGCCATTCATTTCTTTACCATGTAACATAGCAAAATATTGGTATATTTCTAAAAATGGTAAGGCTGAGCAGTAAGCAAGCAGAAGAGTACTTGGGAGTGAATGTCCTCAAGCATGAATACACAAAAAAACTTTAAAAATTAAGATTGCTGTCTTCTGGGTTGTTGCACCGCGTGGACTGAAAAAAGTTTACCGACATTTTAGAGGTTCTCACTGCCTCCGTCATCAGGGCGATGAGTGAAGCAGCAAGGACCTCTGAAACATCAGCAAACTTCTACCAGACTACGCGGCGCAACAACCCAGAAGACAGCACAAAAAACGCCGTTCTGCAAGTGCTTTGACATTTTTGACTTGTTATCACGAGGAGGAAGATGAAATATTGTGTCATATTGTGACGGGAGATGAGACTTGGGCCTCCCATATCACACCTCAATCAAAACAGCATTCCATGAAGTGGAAGCAAACAGCGTCTCCAAAATCCCAAAAGTTTAAGCAGACAATTTCAACCAGAAAAATCATGTGCACCGTATTCTGGGACAGGAAAGGTGTTCTATTGGTGGAATTCATGCCGACAGGCACAACAATCAACTCTAATGTTTACTGCGAAACTTTGAAGAA